CGTAAACCAGGGTTATGTGATATCTTCTCCATATCTAACATTACACCTTCATGTTGGAAATACATATCAATATACGACTGCTTTTGTTCCTCCGTTACACACTCCTTTGGAAAACCGCTCGCCTCCTGCTTTATCTTTAGAAAGGTATTAACATATCCTTAAATAATTCTGGACTGTTTTGGGAAGTGCCACACCTCGTGAATTTTTAAAATTCGATACCCTTTCTCAACAGCTTTCAATAGTTCCACATGACACCATGTCCCCGGAATGGATCTTTCTTGTTCTGAGTGTGTACATGGACTTGAATTAAATGAGATAGCACACGTTCTGCATAGGGGGAACAACAATTTGCCTGGAACGCGATAAGGAAGAACAGGATGAAACAATCCTCGTGGTGGTAATACTGTACATTTTACCAATCCAAAATATGTCGATATATCTGAGAAATTCTCTGTAATAATAATTGGATGTCCAACAACAGTTCTTGTTGATTTATTGCACCACGGGTAGAGACTAGTAAAATCAACGTATCTAAAAATAGAAAATGACGTAATGAGAATAGAAAAAATGACGTCACAGAAACTCTTTTTCATTTCTTACTTTATCTTCTCATCATTTTCACATTCATAAAAGAGCCTCGTGGCATTTGTACGTCCCCCATAGAATGCATCACGCGGTTGAAGAGGATCAACAAGATCATGATTCTCGAAATGTGTACGCATGTCCTCGTTTAATTCTAGCTCCTTCTTTAAATCGCATTCCCACATCTCTATCACTTTATATCCACGCTCCCTTAGATGGAGATTCTTCCTCACTGTAGACTCATAGAGATCGCTCATTGTTCTCCCATTAACAGGATTAACAGTATCACGAGCATAACACTTTCTACAGCCTAAAATATATAAAAATAATACTATTAAGAATAAATAAATAAATAAATAATAAATGACATATTTAAATACATACCATGCCATATACATCCATGAAACTCATATGCTGTATTTCTTTCAATATTATATCCATCTAGTGAATATCTATCGACACGCTTCTCTCCCCCATTCCTCCCATGAGCAATAAAAATATCCTCCCTCTCCGATATGTAAGATAACCACTTTAATGCCATGTTGGATTGTTTCACTTTCATTTGATAATCGGAGCGAAAAATACCAATGGTCTCCTCTTGAAGAAAATTAACACGAAAAACCAAGTTACATGCGCTGGCAATAGTCAAACATTTCTCGAAAGGATCGATATCTGTGATTGCTCTAAATAACTCGCGAAACTCCATACAACATCGACGTAAGATATCTACATCGGATCGACAATATTTTATAATCTCATCCTTGAAATTAAAAATATAATTCTCTCGCCTTTGCTCTTTATGCCATTCCAAGAATGCCTCACGACTCTCCTCCTTCATTCCATTTGTATTATAAAAAGCCTCACACGGTATTGGACCCACATAATTCTCATTCTCTCTTCGATTGAACAGATGAGGAAAATATCCCTTGCATATCTCATCAATCCCAAATGTCTTAGGGAAATTTGCCAGAGACATAGGAATAAAATTTAGAGAATCGATAAACTTGATATTAAGCATGGGAACCGATAGAGAGAGAATTTTTGCGCCACGTAAAATAATGTCATATTTCACAGCATTCTTGTTTAAAAAATTTTGAATGAAGTATCCATCATACCCTTGAAAATTATGGGCTATAAATATGCAATTTTGGTGTTCCTTAGTAAAAACCCACTTACAAAAATCCGAGTTTGTATTCTCACCGCAAAATATCCACTCGTCCCCACTCTCGTTATGAACAATACATAAATTTGCTTTATGAACGCCCTCATCCTCTTGTCGTGCTTCATAATCAAAGAAGAACATCTGCGTATATCCCCTCTCATCATTACTCTTCATCGACTCATTATCATCATCATTACCATCATCATCATCATTATTATTATCTCCATTGGTATTCTCATTTCTCTGCCCTGGCTTCCTCATATAACATAGATGATGGGTATCAAAGTTATCAACAAGTGCATTGCATATCTTACACTTAGCTTTCTCACATAAATGTTTCTTGGGATTCAGTTTACAAGTTCTTACAGATTTTCCACATTTCGAACACCTCTTTACACTCTTGCAAATAGATGAGCCTCCTATTGATCTCTTATGGTATTCATAACATGTCTCATTCTTAAATAACCTCTGACATTCATTACAGTTTATCCAACTTGATTCAGACGAACCTTGAGAACAATCGGTGGATCGACAACACTTGCACATGGAAGGGCATATATGATCATGGGTGTTTGAGTATGGCTTTCTACATGTGTGACAATAAAAACTCCGCGCAAAGAAACCGGGCATGCTGGTGATGACATCGTAATGGTTGTTATGTAAATATAAATAGACTCGTTTCACATCGCTCTGGTTAGATTTGGGAGGATAAATAATAACATCTCCATGCTCGGCTGAGACTATATTAATCTCATACTCCGTTAAATATTCTTGAAATAATTTAACTTCGGAAATTCCGCAAGGACCTCTTGGTACTTTCGCCTCCCTGTGTAAATCCTCCGCTTTCTTCCTTTGAAGAGCACTTCGGCTATCCTTGATGAGATAATACTTCTCATCCTTCTCAATTCTTGCTATTGCAACAACAAGTGCTCTGGCCAAGCACATATCATCATCATTATTTCTTATAACCACCACTGATCTCTTCATTCGTAAATGTTTTAAAAGATCCACGCGACTTCGCTTTGAGCCTCGCGATCCCGATGGCATTTCAACATGAACAATGTCAGCAATTACTGTATCATTTAGAACAAAATGTTGATTGGACTGTACCACACGCTCGACTTGTGAAAATATTCGTTCGGGAGTAAAATGAGAAACAGGCATAAACGGTAAGGATATTGGTACATCAAGTTGAGGTGTTCGTAAAACGAAACGAACCTGGTCGCTATCGTTCATCCCATTTGTGATATTATCTATTAATCCTTCAAAAATTTGTTGTGTACGTTCATATTCCTGAATAACATTGAGATCTTTATTCTCGTTGTTAAAACGAACGCTATAATCAACACCTCTCGTCTTAAACTTCTTTGACCTTACTTCATTAATTTTCTCTATGGTGTAAAAAGAGGTCTCGTCATTACTACTTGCCCCGTCATTATTGCTTGTACTTGCCCCGTCATTATCCTGTCCTCCAAACTGTATTGTATTATCCACCTCCTCGTAACCTCGCTTCTTACGATTAGAATCAACTTGCATGTCCTCCTCACTCACCTCCCAAATCCATCCATCATCGCTATCAGAGAAGAGGTCCTCCCTAAAATCCTCCTCGGATATCTCCCAAATCCAATCATCATTATCATCATCATCGTTAATAAAATTAAACAAATCCTCCTCTCGATGAGAACTCATTCTCCCGAAAATGAGAAAATGGGTCGTTTCTTGCACCATTTATATCTGATTATAAAAACACGTGTTTTTAATATAAAAACATATACTCTAATATTACAACACGTGTTTTTATTTAAAAACACTTGTTTTTTCCTTTCAGCACGTGTTCTTATTTAAAAACACATGTTTTTTCCTTTCAACACGTGTTTTTATCTTTTTGGCACGTGCTTTTTGAAAAAACACGTGCCAATAAAAAGTATAAATAAAAGAAGAAAAAACCTCCCTACTCACAATCTTTTAAAAATGAAATGTCTACATGGTAAAGAAGCAGTAGTCTCAGAAAATGGATTGTTCTGGATTTGCGGAGAAACAAATAATAACAATTGCAAACTCTCCTGCACAGAAGAAGATGCTTTTTTATACGAAAAAGGAATTGAGAAATTCTTGGCAACCTTTCAAAAACAACCCACATGTTGCAATGGAAACCTGGCAAAATTGAGAATGGTGAAAAACCCCGAGAAATCCTCCTACGGTCGCCCCTTTTTTGTATGTTCCAAAGATAAGAACCCATGCAAATATTTCGAGTGGGGTGATGTGTACATTAATGATGATAGACCACAATGTCACCATGGTGAACGAAGTAAACTACAAGTGGTTAAAAAAGAGAGCGTAAATAAGGGGCGATCCTTCTTCTGTTGTCCCGAGCCACAAGAGAAATCATGTAATTTCTTCATGTGGTACGAACCACCTACTCCCGCAACCGAAGCAAAAGGAACCCCAGGAGCGAAAGGGACACGCAGGCTGATAAAAAAGAAAATAGGAACATATACCAAGACAAAAGATAGTGAGAATGGTAATGATGATGATAATGATGATGAAATGACCATAGAGAGCAGTCAACGTAGCCAACTCCTCCAAACCACCCCGGGAGGTCCTTGTACGTTTGGATTCTACCCGCAATACTACCGGCGTTGTGATGAGCAAGAAGAGGAACCGAAGAAAAAGAAAAAGAAAAATTATAGTTATAGTTATAATTATCATGATGTGGACGGTGATGACGAGTCCTAAGAACTAAATCTTAAGAACATAACATTTCTTAAAAAGAACATTCTCATAAAAGGAGAAAAACCTCCTGTTAAAACTTGTTATTGTTATTGTTATTACGATTTGAAAAACTTGTAAATAATCTCTTATAAAATATAAAAAATTATTATTATTATTATTATTATTATTATTATTATTATTTTATTATATTATTATTATTATTATTATTATATATTATTATTATTATTATTATGTTTTACTCATTAGAACACCGCCTGTCGCGTGAGTGCGACAGAGTAATTTAACATGACGTAATAAACATAAGAGATATTAAACATGACGTAATAAATGGGAAAACCCCAAATATAAGAGATATTAAACATGACGTAATAAATAGGAAAATCCCCAAAACAAGAAAATAATAAACATGACATAATGGGAGGAAAATCCCCAATCAAAGATGTTTTTATTAAAACAAACTATGCTCAATATAACATACAAAAATGTCTATAAAAACATATCAAAATAAGTTCAATATGAAAATTCATATATTAAAATCCATAAGCTCAATGTCTCGCAAATCGTTTTCTAAATCTTTAAAATTATCATCATCCTCAAAACATTCCCAGTCAAGTAACTCGACCTCAAAATCAAAATCCTGATAATGCTTGCTGATATCTTCATACGGGTCGAAAGTTGGCGTGTCCCTTCCGCCTCGCTCACCGTTGTTGTTGTGTTGTTTTTTGTTGTTGTTCTCGCTTCGTTCGTTTCGCTCGTCGTTGTTGTTTTCGCTTCGCTCGCTGTTGATGTTCTCGCTTTGTTCGCCTCGCTCGCCGATGTTTTCGCTTCGTTCACCGTTGTTATTGTTGTTGTTCTCGCCTCGCTCACCGTTGTTGTTGTTGTTGTTGTTGTTGTTGTTGTTTTCGCCCATATCGCTGACAATGCTATTAATACTCTTCTCAAGTAATGTCACCTCATCCTCAATGTTTAAAACTTCACATACTTCGTCGATTGAGTCCCGTATCGTGTTCATACTCAATCCCGTATTATCATACAGCCGTATCTTCCAATCCATCGTCCTTGTTATATCTCTTATATGAGGATTCGCTGTTACAACCTCACGATATGCTCTTGTATATTCGTAATAAATATACGGATATTTCTCCTTGACCCAAGTACTCAACAACCTGTTAAATTTCTCCTCCTTCCTTACTCTCCCCTTTCGTAACTTCTCGCGCTCGTTCCTATCAATCGTGCTCTTTTTGCGACCCATACTACTTGGCTTGGCTTGGCTTGGTTGTCAATCAAAATCGTCGCTTTTATAGTTTAAGAAGGGGGATACCAAAACTCTACGGGGCGGACTTATGGGTAAACACAAAAATAAATATAATCCAATCATATTGCAAAGCGAGAATTTTAGAACAAAAATTCTGATCCTTACTTGATCCTCGCAACGCGGACCTATATGTAGACATTAAAAATAAAAACACGCATCATTATATAAAAACACGGTGTTTTTAAAATAAAAACACGGTGTTTTTAAAATAAAAACACGGTGTTTTTAATAAAAACACGGTGTTTTTAAAAATAAAAACACGCCTCTCCTAAGTATAAAAGTCGGCATAGTTCGCCTTGTTTGCTTATTAAAACATTGTCGAGAGAAAGATGGAAAATATTGTAGGTTTAATTGATATGGACAGATTTTGGATAGAGAAAAAATTCTGCTGTAAAGAATTAGGATTAATGGGTATGGATTACTCGGAAGCTTTATCGTTCCTCTTTAAAATACCACATGAATGGGGAAAACTAAGCACAAAAGACAAGAAACATTGCTCATATGTCACTAAACACATTCATAAACTCCCGTTCTACGGTCCCGAAGGAATACCTCTCCATGAAGCAAACGAAATCGATACTATAGTCAAGTCATTCTACAAAAACAAGAAGAAACGGAAATAGCTCTATGGCGTATAAAGGGGGTTGCATTGAGAAAAACCTACTACAGAAAAACAACATCCCGCACATAAATCTAGAAGTGTTCGGATGTCCAAAACCGTCTCAACTTGTCCCATGGATCATTACTGACCAGCATAACACAGATAATACTTGGATGCAAACGTGTGGAAATCACTTAGAAAAAAACGCATATGAACACTGCCCAAAATCGGAATTGGAAATAATTAACAAGTGGGTTAAATATATGAACATGCAAACACTCAAACGTTAATAACAATAATGTCATACTTCTATTAATGTTATATTCATGTCAATAATCCTCGTTGAACATGTCAGAAATATCTATATTAAAATCTACTCCATTAAACATGTCTGTTAATTGTCTCCTTGCTATTTCATCCCATCTCCCCGGTTCCTTAGAAATAATAACATCTCTCAGCATGTCATCAATCTCGTTACATACGACATATGAAGTAAATAAACCACCACCGTCCGCATTTATAAAACCGATATTCATTAATTTATCATACATAACATCAAGATAAACACTTCTAACTCCATTCCTTATTGACTTATAGCTTTGATTTCTTAAACACACCCCATAGAGACTACTCTCAACTTGAACAATAATCTTGCAATCAAACATACCAACAGGCACCCTCAAAACAAACTTATATTCACATGTTATATATGTTCTAAAAAATTACTTGGGTGTGCGGTAAAATAAATAGGTATCTCGATACAGTACTTCCCAGGTAAAATACTTGCATAATCCTTGAGAATCTTCTTGACATCATTGTTCAAAATATGATGAACAAAATATATAAATACAGGTCTCAACGCCTGTACCAATTGATTTCTAAACACGTGCACTCTCACGATATATAAAAGCAAGAAGAGAATCGATATCCAAGGGACGAACATAAACCGTCTGTTGAAATATATCCTTAATACGCCTCGAAGTAGGTTTCTCTTGACTAAATATAACATCCTCAATCCTATTTACTATTCCATTAACACTCCAAGACATGATCAAAAAATATGATAATATTTAGAAGAAAAGCAACTTTATACATACAATAAAAACACGTGCCTCTATAATAAAACACGTGCCTCTTACTATCGATTAGAATATATACCAAATCGAGTTGAAAAATACCAACTCAGACATATTCTCACTAATCTATCACATTTCATATCACCTCTAATAAGCAAAAGCCTTTGTAATACATCATCTACATTATCACATAATAAAAGACTCTCATGTTCAAATTCGCCGTTATAACATGTCCAGTAACAGTATAATTAAGTGGATACATATGTACCCGAGTCATGTCATTATAAAGAGTCTTCACCATGTCTCGTATCACCCTATAGGTAGGGTTCCTCAAATATATTCCATAAAGTTTACTATCAATTTGAGCAATGACTGTACATTTAAACATACCCCGCGGTAATCTTAAGACAATCTTATTATTAAAACTGTCCACATAATCCTTATATATATCGTAACGATGAGTTGTAAAATAAATCGGTACTTCAACACAATACATTCCTGGACATATATCCACATAATCCGCAAGTATCTCCCTCATGTCGCTCTTTAGTACATATTGAACCATATATACAAACATTAATTCCAACGCATGTACAAGTTGATTTCTCCGTGGATGAGCTCTCAAGAGACAAATAAATGTAAAAAGGGAATCGATGTCCAAAGATCGTGTTAATGACCCTGTCACTCTCTGTGGACGATGAAACACACCTCTAATTTTATTTCTTGTTGGAGGTCTATTATTAATTATCATATCCTGAATTTGAGTAACAACGCAACCATCAATACCACCAATCATCATTATAATAATGATAAAAGAAGCACACACAACAACAACATATATTTATAAGATAGAATAAACACATGCACTTTACAGAATAAACACGTGCTAAAATATAAAAGCACGTGCTGAAATGAAAAAACACGTGCTTTATAAGAGAAAAAACAAACACATACCGATAATTATGAGTGACGTCACAAGAGAATTAAGATTTAAAATAACCCCCGTTAATCCTAATCCTAATCCTAATCCACAACATTATTACGTAATTAGTTATGACGTAATATTAGATATAAGCACGTGTTATTATGACGTCACATTAGAGATCCCACTATAAAGTTCACGCGAGATATTATGACGTCACATTGCTGACTCAGCAATCCCACTATAAAAAATCCCACTATACGGCCAGGACAATACTACTCCAAATTCACGGCTATAATGTTAGACGAACTTCCATCCTCGTCGCCAATGTAATGTCCCCTTCGCTGATATGTAATAACTCACACAAATCTTTAGCTTTTCTACAATCGCTTTAATACAAAATACACAAACGATACAAAACGAAAGAACAACTTCAAACGACAGCCTCGTGATAAGTTGTCACGTGACTTTAATCTAATACAAATAAATCTAATCAAGTATCCCGATTCTACAAATATTAACCAAAATTATTGTCCACAATTGACGAGTCTGTGATGCCGGTTTTAAACTAAATTGTTACAATGAATACGATGTGACTTTAAAGAAAGCACAAAAGAATATCGTAGATGTAGTTTATTTTATTTCCCACTTACATTTCAAGATGTTTTAAAGTCTTTCTTGCATGGAAAAAGGAGCAGAACAAATAGCCTAGGAACTAAATTATAGCAGAATATTAGGCGGGAAAAAATTATAATATTGGAAAATATACCGAGATATTTTCAAAAAGAATGATACACAAAGTAAGAATAGAACCTTACCTTACTGTGTATTCAAAAAATAAAAGCCGATGTAAAGCGTTTCACTTTATTTTAAAGAAGATTGTCTTAGCAATTTTGAAAGCAATTTTAGTAGCACAAGATGGCTGCCAGTGAAGTTCAGCCTCCCTCAACCAATCAAAACACAGGCTTCACATCAACAAGAGATATGATTGGTTGAAAGTCAAAAAAACAAAGAAAAAGGCGAATTTTATAAGTATTTTGAGAATAATTGTCAAAATATCTTACGAAATATGAAAAAATACGGTTTTACATGTGAAATAGCCTATTCTTGAAACCATTAACAAACTTATTTACCCGTTTTACCCAGAGATAATAATTGATCATACATTCTAATAAATCAAAATAAAAACACAACTCTTCCTTCTGTAGGCGTATAAAGCCTTTTTTGATAAGAATATAGCAGAATTGATGCAACATATGGCTTAGAAATTATTTCCACCCTGAGTTTCCTATGAGTAATTGCAAAAATTGGTTGACATATCAAACTTACTTTCATATGTTGATTGCAAAATAGGAAAAATATTTTCTAAGAAGCACAATTAAAGTGCCATAGCTGAGGAAGGATTTAAAGTAGCAATGAAACATGATTTGTGCTTCTTAGAAAATATTTGTCCAATTTTGTAAAGGACATTCCAATGCGAATGACCAATTTGTCCCTGTATTCGTCAGATCTTTGCCATCAAATTCTGAATTATTATCAACCTGATATTCAAACATGACAAAAATCCTTTCACTAACCTTGAGGAAGGATTTAAAGCAGAAATGGCACATTATTTATGCTTCTTAGAAAATATTAGCCTAATTTTGTAATGGACATTCCAACGCGAATGACCAATTTGCCCCTGTATGCGTCAAAATTTTGCCCTCAAATTCTGAATTCTAATCAACCTGATATTCAATCATGACAAAAATCCTTCCACTTACCTTGAGGAGGATTTAAAGCAGCAATGGTACTTCATTTGCTCTTCTTAGAAAATATTTGTCTAATTTTGTAAAGGAGATTCCAACGGGAATGACGGGTGTGACTAATTAACGGAACTGCAGACCACGGAACTGCGGAACTTGCGGAACATGCGGAACTTAATAATATCACCTTTTTCTTGTCAGTAGACAAACAGTGTAGTGTGTATTTTAATAATATGTTTACGTATTGCGCGTCATGCTCTGAGCAAGTCTGAGTTGCCCTTCTGTGTACGTGCCTTTATTCTGTATAACTCGACGCGTGCTATGGCCAACTATGGCAGGTTTTTTGGAGGAGGGATTCAAAAACAAGAGGTAGACTGTTATTTATGTTTTATTCATCATTTTATTCGTTAATTTGCGTATGCACAACAAACCTGAACTTCTTCTCAAAATTTTGTTCAGTGATGCAAGACCTATTGTTGTGGATTTGACTTTAGACAGGTTAGTATTGAACTATCCTACTCCTACTTTTGTGTATATATATAAAGAGAAACATGAAATTACATGCAATCTTATCATAAATTAAAACGTTATTT